ATACAAAACCCTTAAACTGCTGAGAGCCACAAAGGAGAAGTAAGATCCCATTGGTGACTTAGCAATTCACAATATAGCCTTTGTTAACTGAAAAATAATTGGGGCCTTGATAAAATCTTTAAACCACTGAGGGCCTCAAAGGAGGAATGAGAAAAAAAAAAACACAACCTTGAGGTGCACGCCGTAGACCATGTTGACAGTTTAGTATTCCATCCAAAATTTTGCCTAAATGAGACATACCGTTGGCTTTGTTATAAAGGACTACGAAGAACTTTTGGTTGCAGAAAATATGAATCAATAACAATTTGTAAAAACAGTTTTGGTGAGTTTTTTTGCAATAATGCTATCAGGAATTTCCTATGGGGCCTGGCCTATATATTTCTTTATTCTGGTAATTTTTGTAGGACCAAAATTAGATTGCCTTGATATCTATTAGGTTCAGTACGCCCTGTTGTGCCTCAATTTTCATCTGTCATTGCTGTAGAACTATACAGCAAAACTCCCGCAGTTTTTCCCGCAGGCTTTTAACATCTTCTGTTGCCCTTAGGTAAGCCGCCTTGGGCTTGTAGCCAAGTAGTAGTAGACTATAAAGAACAAGGTCTGGTAAGGGCAATATGGAACAACAAGGCTTGCATGTGTGCAGCCTTAATAGAGAGAGGTTGCCTGCATAGACAGTTGCCTAATAAACATTTATACTAGTGATTTAGTTTGGGTATTTACTTATGCACTAATGCAAATAACCACCCCATCATCGGGAAACAGATATCTCCATAGCTTGGAAACTTTTAGTTACCTGTCAAAACTTAATGACCTGCTCTTGACTCACAACGAATTGTTGAACTTGGGGGTCCTTGGTTACTGTGAAGACAAATCTGTGGCCTTGCAGATCTTTAGGAGTAGGTAGGAAGGGGATGAATCCCTGTGCCCAGGCATGGATTTGTGGAGTATTTGGGAAGGTCATTCTGGAATGTGGCCTTCTCAGATTACCTCTGTTATTGATTTTTAAAATGAATCTCCAGGTTCAAGCAGTGGACCTCTTAAAAAGGATGCTCTGGAAACCTGTACAGAGAGGGTTTTTTTGGCTGCCATTGCTGATCTCCTGAAAATGCTAGTTGCCAGTCTTTTTTTTTTATTTCAGTACTTGATGCTTCACTGGTCTTTCAGTTGCTGTATGCTTGGGTTTGAAGTCAGGCCAAGAACCTAAAGTGGAACGTTACCCCTCCACACATGCATGCATGTGCAGTTCATTGTACAAACTGGGCATATGCCAAGATGAATAGATGCTATCCCGGCACAGCCAGTCAAGGTGGCTGAAGATCCCATACCCAAGCAAAGATGTTGGTGTTAGCAAGGTCTTATTAATATAGGTCCACTTTAAGCTGCATTTACATCCCTTCATTTTTTAATGTGGTTGTAGTGTGGTGCCTTTTACATTCCTCCAATGAAAGATATGTTGCACCAATGATACAGCTAGCAAAACCTGTTTTATTGCACAACAGTAATTACATATATGTGAATGTAGCCTATGAAGGCACTGAATTAGCATGACTGTCCGGAAGATCTTTTCAGAAGAAGTTGGCAATGGCAGTTGTCCCTCTGTTCAGATCTCCTTTAAGCCTTGTACACGTGTCTCAGCTTGTATGAGTGTAGTTTGTACAACAAGCTTTTAAAAAGAATTTGTTTAACTTTCGTAAGAATTGTTAAAGTCCTTAAAGAAAAACTCTGTCAAACTTTCAAAATCTTCAAGTAGTTTTGAAGTCTACTAGGAGCTTGTGTAAAGTGAGAGCACTCCCAGGGCCATGCCAGGGACAGATGCGCCTAAGTCGTTGGATGCTGGTGGCCCAGGGCTGAACAGGCACTGAGGATGTAGGTGGCCCAGGGCTGAACAGGCACTGAGGATGTAGGTGGCCCAGGGCTGAACAGGCACTGAGGATGTAGTGTCCAGTTTTGGACACTCTGGCCCATGTTCCATTCCCCACTGTACCGATGGAAAGATGGCCACCTTAGTTGGCTTTGAGCACTTTACATTTTTTTTAACCCTCCCAAACTGGAGATGAATGGTGCTTTAACAGCTTCATCAAAGTTGCTTGAAGCTTTCTGAAACTTTGCAAATGCTTTACAAAACCTTGCTGTACACACCACTCTTTTACAATTCGAAACCCAGTATGAAAAAGCCTTAAAGATCCTCAAACACTGCAGCACAAAAAGTTGCTTCTAGTAGATACAGCTGATACATTTATCACTTATAATCAAGGAAAAGTTTATTGCGTTACGTAACCGTTCCAAAAACGTCACACTTGCACACTTGATTTTTTTATTTTTTTTTCATTTTGCACATTGAATCCAAATTGTAGAATACCATTGCGATATTCACAAAAAGGGAAAATTGTAACTTAGAAGCATAGAAACTGTGACTTAGGTGTTTTTTTTTAGCAATTTAAAATATTTACCTCAGAACACTAGTGAGAAAAGTCTGTTCTCTTCACATCGAAGAAATGCTAATGTTTATCTCACTCGAGTGTGCCAAATTCACTTTATTTTTTGTTGGGGAGTTTTAACTTTTTTTTTTGCATTGTCTTTATATTTTGTCCACCGGCACTACTGTAACTTCAGTAAACTGAACCGTGTGATTGAAGCTTTTGCTAACTATTGTATTTATTACTACTTAGAATAGAGAAATGTATGGAATGACCTTTCCATTTATTTTTGTATTACTTTTAATGTTTTTACTTGCCATTGTGCAGACCTGATTTTTACACTTTAATTCTGATGTACTGCTAAATAACAATAAACTATTTTATGTCTGTTTCTGTTGTTGCCTTTATTTATATTCTGCAAACTTTAAGAACAAATTCAAGGCTGAACAACAATAGTGCTATCAAAAAGAAGAGAAAAACCTGCGCTCAAAGGGCCGGATATGGCATATGTTAGTTACATAGTTAGTCTGGCTGAAAAAATACAAAAGTGCATCCAGTTCAACCATAAAAAAAAAGTTATCCTATACCCACAGTTGATCCAGAGGAAGGCAAAAAAAAAAACTCAGCAAAGCATGATCCAGTTTGCTCCTGCAGGGAAAAAATTCCTTCCTGGTCCCACGAGAGGCAAACGGATATTCCCTGGATAAACTTTACCTATAAATGTTATATCCAGTTATATTCTGTGTATCCAAGAAAGAATCCAGGACTTTCCTACAGCAATCCACTGAGCTGGCTAGAACCAACTCTTGAGGGAGTCTATTCCACATTTTCACAGCTCTCACTGTGAAGAAACCTTTCCGTGTTTGGAGATTAAATTTCTTTTCCTCCAGATGTAAAGAGTGCCCCCTTGTCCTCTGTGATGACCTCAGGGTGAATAACTCTACACCGAGTTCACTATAGGAACCACTTATGTATTTATACATATATGTGAAAGGGTCTTAGCATTCAGTCCAATAAGGCGGTGCTGTGCAGCCCCCTAAAGGCTGGGAAAGCCCAATAAGACACTATAAAATAAGAAGAGAAAGGGGCGCACAAGCCTTGAGGTTCTGAGGGGATTGCCCCTCGAAACGCGGCAGTCATTTTTCAAGCGTCCTCTTGCTTGTGGGACTCGCACACTATCCCAGACCATGGACCATTGTCAGTCATGATATGCCTGTGTACATTTGATGTTTGTGTGTATATCTGCTATACTTTGTGATTAAAGTTTTTATTGAGGTAATGTGCAAGGCTTGTGCGCTCCTTTCTTATTTTATAGTAACAATGCTGCTACTTCAGGGCACTCAATTTCTTTTTTGTAGCCCTTCGAAGTACCTGGTGCACTGGGATGTGAACTTCACCTCTGCCTCCCAGAATGCATTGTTTGGCCCTAAATAGTTAGCTACCAGACTCAAACATTAGCATAGGGGAGCACAGATTAGACTGACTAAGGCAGGGAGCAGCAGAGATACAGTAACTTTGTGGGAGAGGGAACCTGCATACTTTAGGAACAAATTCAAGGTGGAACGAAACTGGGTTTTATTGGTAATGGCCATGCTGGCCCCCAGACTGATATGCAACTTTTGATATGTTCCCCAGACACTCCATTTCTTTTTTGTAGGCCTCAGAAATACCTGGAACACTGGGGTGTTGGATGGCATGTGACCTTTCCCTCTTCTTCCCAGGATGCAGTGCTTGACCCTAAATAGCCAGTTGCCTAGCTTAAACATTGGCATAAGGGATAAATAAAAATCAGAACTAGAGGTAAGAAAGGCCCTCAGAGAAGAATCAGTCTACATGTAGGTCAGAGCAGGCTCCTCTTCAATCTTGTCAGTGACGATAAGGTAGCCACCACTGACAACCTCCTCATCACACCCTAATTCAGCCTTGATGCCCACTTCAGTTCGGGTCAAACCGATACTTTAAAACAAGCTGAAAAAGCAGGGGCACTGTTGTAGTGCATTACCATAGGACTCTTTTTTTTTTTTTTTTTTAAATAAAACAAATGTCAATAGAGTCACAAAGGTGCAAGTGTATGTAACAAATCCCATCATGCCACTGGAAACGTGTTCATCCACAAGGGTGCAGCTTACGTGTTTCAAAGACGATTCCTTCTGCCTCATAAGGGACTCTGGTTAGCTCTGAGGAAGAAGGCATCACCCATGAAACATATACGCTACGCCCTTGTGGATGGACACAGTTCCAGTGGCATGATGGGTTTGGTTACATGCACCTGATTGATGCACTTGTACCTTTTATGAGTATTGATATTTGTTTTTTTCAATAAAGAATCTTATGGTACCACACTAGGCAATTGCGCCGCCTTCTTGTTCTTGTTTTATAGTATTGGCGTATGGGAGCACAGATTGGACTGACCAAGGAATGGAGGAGCAAAGATATCCACGAGGGGCTTCCTAAGGGGGATAAAGAGAAAACCTGTGTCATAACGGGCTGAGTCACCCCCTGCTCTCTAACAGTTTGTGATGACTTCAGAGGTAACATCCCTCTGCCATAGTTCCTTGCTGTCTTCCCTCCCGCCGTGGATTTTGGACATATCCACTTGCCTTTAGGTGTTACCACACCTATGTGATTCAGTGCAATCAAGTCCTGAGATACTAGCCAGGCCTTAGAGTTACTCGCCACCAACAAACACACACAACAGAGATACCTGTACACACATACAGACATGTACATACACACAAAGAAACATGTACACACACGCACAGACACGCATACACACAGATACATGTACATACACAGAAATACACACACACAGACACATGTACATACATACACAGACACGTACGTACATACACACATTTACATGCACACACAGAAACGTACACACACACATACATGTACATACACACAGACACGTACAATTGTATATGCATAAACAGACACATACAAACACACACACACACGCCTCCCCCCCATAAAAAGTTGCAGTACTTCGTTGTTCACTCACAGATCCAGGAACTGCACTCTAGGGGGAGGCAGAGAGCACATAACACACACTCCTTGCTTTGCTTTCACTGCGCTCAGCTATTGAGCATTCTGACGGCTCCCAGTGCCAATGACAGATCCGGCCTGAGCTCCGAGCCTGCTCAGCAAGACGGCCCTGGGGGACATCTTCATCCCCACCATAATTTTCACTCGCCATTGGCGAGCAGGCAAGTGGAAATTTCAAGCCCTGGTGTAAACTACAACAAAAAGAGAGGAAGTACTTTTTAATGGCTGTGGTGAGTGTACAGAGTTGCAACTTCAAGTAGCTACTGCTAGTACCTACCACTACCAGCACATTGCTACCTAGGAAGAAGGAAGAGCAGATGTAGGTAAGTATTTGGGGTCTGCTTAGACACATCATATCAGTAGTACATGGTAGGCCCTTTGGTGGAGAGACAAATGTTGCAGTGTGAAAATTTCTATCTGGAAATAGGGTGACCTGATTGTCATTTGATTATTCTTTAGGACCAACAGAGGCCAATAAAGCTCCATGGAGCCCATCTAAACTTGAAAATGTACTTATAATTGGTAATGGTGCCCTTGAGGAGTCTGACATTCCTAAGCATGTGGTTCACATAGGTTTTAACTCCAGCTCAGACTTTGAGCTCTGCTACACCCTTGCAATCCAACAAACCAATGGAAATACACCGCCTTATTTACATTCCGATAAGCTCCCCTTCCCCCACAGACCCCCACAACCACTGAGCTAGGGTTGTGGGGAAGAGTCCCTTGTCCTCATTAATATGGAGCAAGATACCTCCCCCTATGTGGAAGGCATGTGGCCTGAAATGGTTCAGAAGGAAGAGGGGTTGTATGCTTGTCCCCAGGGCAACATTATGTTCTGGACCTTATTATCATTCGTTGCCATGTAAAGGAATCCAGTAGGCTTTTCCTTGTGGAAATAAGTGTAGCCTTCGATTGCTTTGATCATATGATGCCATAAACTAATTGTGACCACTCTCCTGATAGAGCAATGGAATTGCATTGATTTCTTGTAGCCCTTCACTACTGGTCCTGACAAAGTGGAGCTATCCATGAAACTTGTTGACCTGTTGTGATATGGGGCAGTCCGTATAATGCAGATATATACGGTCCTTATAGTGTGCACAAAAAAAAAATTGTGCATCATACAGTCATGGCCGAAATTGTTGGCACCCTTGATATTTTTCCTGAAAATCAAGTATTTCACACAAAAAAGGTATTGCATTAACACATGTTTTGCTATACACATGTTTATTCCCTTTGTATGTATTGGAACAAATATAAAACAGAGGCAGAAAAGCAAATATGACATAATGTCACACAAAACCCCAAAAATGGGCTGGACAAAAGTATTGGCACCCTTAACTTAATATTTGGTTGCACACCCTTTGGAAAACATAACTGAAATCAGTCGCTTCCTATAACCATCAATAAGCTTCTGACACCTCTCACCCGGAATTTTGGACCACTCTTCCTTTGCAAACAGCTCCAGGTCTCTCTTATTGGAAGGACACCTTTTCCCAACAGCAATTTTAAGATCTCTCCACAGGTGTTCAATGGGATTTAGATCTGGGCTCATTGCTGGCCACTTCAGAACTCTCCAGCGCTTCTTTGCCATCCATTTCTGAGTGCTTTTTGACGTATGTTTGGGGTCATTGTCCTGCTGGAAGACCCAGGATCTTGGACGCAAACCCAGCTTTCTGACACTGGGCCCTACAGTGCGACCCAAAATCCTTTGGTAATCCTCAGATTTCATGATGCCTTGCACACAGTCAAGGCACCCAGTGCCAGAGGCAGCAAAACAACCCCAAAACATCATTGAACCTCCACCATATTTTACCGTAGGTACTGTGTTTTGTTCTTTGTAGGCCTCATTCCGTTTTCGGTAAACAGTAGAATGATGTGCTTTACCGAAAAGCTCTATCTTGGTCTCATCTGTCCACAAGACGTTTTCCCAGAAGGCTTTTGGCTTACTCAAGTACATTTTGGCAAACTGTAGTCTTGCTTTTTTATGTCTCTGTGTCAGCAGTGGGGTCCTCCTGGGTCTCCTGCCATAGCGTTTCATTTCATTTAAATGTCGACGGATAGTTCGCGCTGACACTGATGCTCCCTGAGCCTGCAGGACAGCTTGAATGTCTTTGGAACATGTTTGGGGCTGCTTATCCACCATCCGGACTATTCTGCGTTGCAATCTTTCATCAATTTTCCTCATCCGTCCACGACCAGGGAGATTAGCTACAGTGCCATGGGTTGCAAACTTCTTGATAATGTTGCGCACTGTGGACAAAGGCAAATCTAGTTCTCTGGAGATGGACTTGTAACCTTGAGATTGTTGATATTTTGCCACAATTTTGGTTCTCAGGTCCTCAGACAGTTCTCGTCTCCTCTTTCTGTTGTCCATGCTTAGTGTGGCACAGACAGACACACAATGCAAAGGTTAAGTGAACGTCTCTCCTTTTTATCTGCTTTCAGGTGTGATTTCTATATTGCCCACACCTGTTACTTGCCCCAGGTGAGTTTACAGGAGCATCACATGCTTGTAACATTCTTATTTATCCGCAGTTGTGAAAGGGTGCCAATACTTTTGTCCAGCCCATTTTTGGAGGTTTGTGTGACATTATGTCGAATTTGCTTTCTTTCCTCCCTTTTTTTGTTTTGTCCCAATACACACAAAGGGAATAAACATGTGTATAGCAAAACATGTGTTAATGCAATACGTTTCGTGAGAAATACATGATTTCCTGGAGAAATATCAAGGGTGCCAACAATTTCGGCCATGACTGTATGTGATTCATTTAACCCTTTTACTGCCTAGTTTCTACAGCGGTGGTTTCAAGGAGTTTTACACATACTGTTGGCGGCTGCATCCTTTGTAAATCTGATAAGCCAACCATTGGCTGCCGGATGGAAGTGATCTGACAGCTGTGCACACGTCCATTACTGCCAGACACCCCCCCTAAAGTCTGTGTGCTCATAGGCCGACCCGGGACCAGTATGGCGGCTGCCACCAGGTAGGGGGGCGTGGAATCTGTGAACATCCGGTCACCAATGTCCGTGCACACACACCCCCTACCCAGAATTGCAAAATCACGTATATATATATGTGATTTTGCGCACCCCTGCCACTCTGTAGTAATATACCTGCTATAGGGCGGTGGGAATGCGGTTAAAGGACATGTGACTTAAAAACTGCACCTAAAACACTTCTCAGAGGCATTTTTCAGGAACCTTAAAGGCGTTTTCCATTCATTTCAATGTGAAGAGCCATATTTGGGGTTTTTTTTTAACTCCCCAAAGATGCTGCAAGCAGGAGTTTTTAAACCACACCCCAAGCGCAACGCCTCAGTGTGAAAACATTATATAGATATACATTCACATACATAGGGAAGCATTTTTCTTGAGCTTTTCAGACACTTTTTTTTAAATGCAAAAATGCTTACCACTTGAGCACCTGAGGATTTACCCCCCTTAATGACCAGGCCTTTTTTTGCTGTTTGGCGCTGCACTAATTCAAATGATAATTGCGCGGGTCATGCAATGCTGTAACCAAACGAAATTTAAGTCCTTTTTTTCACACAAATAGAGCTTTCTTTTGGTGGTATTTTATCACCTGTGCGCTTTTTTTTTTTTTGCGCTATAAACAAAAAAACACAAAAATTTTGAAAAAAAAAACCAATATTTTCTACTTTCAGCTATAAAAAATATATTGTAAACTCAAAGTTAGTCATAAATTTAAGTCAAAATGTATTGGTAAAAAAAATCCCGTGCATTAGCGGGCAAACTGGTGCTATATGGGAGGGGCGCTAACACTATTGGAAGTCACCAGTGACACTAATACAGTGATCAGTAAAAATCTGTTTATTGTAATCAATGACACTGGTGACAGGGCAGTGAAGGGGTTAACTGGGGGGGTGGGGGGCGATCAGGGGTTAAATGGGATTACTGGTGTACTGGCGGGCAATCTGGCGCTATCTGGGAGGGGTGCTAACACTATCGGAAGTCGCCAGCGACACTGATACAGTGATCAGTAAAAATTGGTTCACTGATCAATGACACTGGTGACAGGGCAGTGAAGGGGTTACCTCGGACGGGGGGGGGGGGGATCAAGGGCTTAGACGGGATTACTGGTGTATTAGCGGGAAATCTGGCGCTATCTGGGAGGGGCGCTAACACTATCGGAAGTCGCCAGCGACACTAATACAGTGATCAGTAAAAATCGGTTCACTGATCAGTGACACTGGTGACAGGGCAGTGAAGGGGTTAACTGGGGGGCGATCAAGGGGTTAAACGGGATTACTGGTGTACTGGCGGGCAATCTGGCGCTATCTGGGAGGGGCGCTAACAGTATCGGAAGTCGCCAGCGACACTGATACAGTGATCAGTAAAAATCGATTCACTGATCAGTGACACTGGTGACAGGGCAGTGAAGGGGTTAACTGGGGGGGATTAAGGGATAACGGGATTACTGGTGTACTGGTAGGCAACCTGGCGCTATCTGGGAGGGGCGCTAACACTATCGGAAGTCGCCAGCGACACTGATACAGTGATCAGTAAAAATCGATGCACTAATCAGTGACACTGGTGACAGGGCAGTGAAGGGGTTAACTGGGGGGGGGGCGATCAGTGGGGGGTTAAATGTGTCCTAGAGTGTTCTAACTTAGTGTAGTGCTTTGTACTCACTTTTTGTATGTCTTCTTCTCTGTCTGGAACGGAATGTGTCCAGGCAGAGAAGAATGATATCATATCCTGTCCTGTGTAAATGTCAACACAGGACAGGATAGGACAGGGACCGATCATCTGATTTCAGCCAGACATCACTGGCTGAAATCGAATGATTGATCCCTCCGGGATCGAATGGTGTCACCCGCGGGTTGGCGGGAGCGCACGCGCCCCCTGCCGGCGAAAACGTCGAGAGCGCGGAATCCGTTTTAAAACGTGCTTTTGCGCCCCAGTGCCGCCCTGCACACGTATATATACAGTGGCAGGGTGGCAAGCGGTTAAAAAAACTCCTCAGTGTGAAAGTAGCCTAATTGAAGGCAAACTCCAGCTCACGTTGCAGTTACAGCAACACTTTTTTCTTTTGGGATAAAGATTTTACATGAGTAAATAAAAGCTGATCACTGAAAGCACCCCTGTTAGTGGTAATGGTTTGTCTCGACATCCTAACTGCTACATCTGCGGGACAGCTTGTGCTTTTGAAAAAT